GCAAGCAAGCAAGCAAGCAAGCAAGCAAACAATAAAATACATTCAGAGGGTTACTTCACTATGATGTGTTTTCCAATACAGTCAGCATACTAATCCTTACCCCACCCCACAGCACCCAGCTTCAGGAGGTAACGGCTTATGTATGCGTTGTAGACTTTGATCACCAGCAGGTAGAGATGGAAGCCCTCCATGGCCATCCAGGTCAAACTACACAGCAAGGAGTAGTGGAGGAAGGCAGCAATGGTGCTACATGGCCATGGGAACTTCACCAAGAGCTGGCTGATCAGGAATGACATGTTGAGAAGGAAAAGGGCTCCCAGAAGATTGATGTGGATCTTTGTTGTGGAATCGTGATAGATTTTCCTGCAAGGAGAAAGGGGAAGAAGATAAATTGGAGAGTTGGAGCTGATAGGGTGCAGAAAGGGGAGAAACACCAGTCAGCCAAGGTCACATCTGCAACATCCAGGACAGTTTGTTGACATTCTCAGTAGCAATTAATACCAAGTGGGAAACTGGCTTTAGGCATTTCACCCATCAGGGATTAGCTTTTTGTGTGTGAAAACAGCCAGATTACTATATGTCAACCATGTATATACCCAGAACTGGGCAACTGAGCATCACATTTAGTTGCGACTTCTGCAAAAAGGGTTGTGCATGTGTGAAAGACCACTCGCCCATTTTGTTCAATACTTTACAAATCCTTCACCCCTTTTTTACCATTATGTATAAAAGAAGGGGAGGGCAGAGGGTCGCCAGTTAAATTTATAATGTGAATCTCCTCAGCACATCAAGAGCAAAATTCCAAACCACAAAATTCTAAACCACAGTGCCATGGGTCAGTTTCCAGAGTAGCGGCACTATTTTCAAATTTCCTCCCAAAAAATCCTTCAAGGAGGACAGAGGATGTCAGCAGCCAAAGCGTGCTCACCTGCTAAATGAAATTATGCATCCTTGTCTTTGGAATAATCTGCTTCTTTGTTTTTGTTACTCCATTGTAAGTCAGAAGCAGAGTTAAAAACAGGCATATTTTACTGATAATTGCAGTGAGTCTTTTACACACTCAGAGGTGGAAAGACTCAATATTATCTACAATGGAAGAATGGATGGTAAAGTTGATGGAGCTAGCTGAGAAAGTGAAATTGATAGCTTTGATTGGAGAAAAGAATGGCTAATTTTAATGCTAATTGGAAGCCCCTTTTGGACTTCTTGCAGGAAACAGAAAAAAAATGAAATTATGAAATATGGATTCAATGATTAGTAAAATTAATAGATTATAGAAATAATGGATGTTAAGTTGTAACCCTAGAGTAAGAACTTAATGTATGTTTTACTCATATCTGCTGTAAAAGAAATCAGAAGTCCTTTTTTTGTATTTCTGTTTCTTTTTCTTTCTTTGTCTGCACTTCTGCTTTCCTTCTTTCTCTTTATTCTTTCTTTTCTTCTATTCTTTTTCCTGATTATTAGTTCTTGTTAGTTTTTATCTTTCTGTTTTTAAAATTTAATAAAGTTATTATTTAAAAAAACAGGAATATTTTACAATTGCCCTACCCGATTGGATTGGATTTCAGAATGTAAAACTTGCAGGTCATTTATGTTTTGACATCCTTCAGAATCCACTGCCTTCTCTTAAAGCAGTGTTTCTCAAGCTAGGCAACTTGAAGATGTGTGGACTTCAACTCCCAGAATTCCCCAGCCAGCTCAAGGCATCATTTGGGAGACTCCACGGAGTAAACAGTATCGGTGAGGGCAGCTCCACCATGTACCTGCTTCCTCAAAGACTCATTTTAGGCTCAGAGAAAGCATTCTCTGCCCACCCTTAAACCAGCAGAAAGCTACGCTGGCTTAACATTTCCTAACCCCACTGCTGATCCCTGTTCTTGAGTCTAGTCTCCATTTCCTGCATTTCTGAGAGTGGGGTGGCATACTGTACAAGTTTAATAATAATTTTTTTTTAATCAACTTGCTATTGGATTGTGATTGATTTGGTTGATTGATTGATGATGACCGATTTGATTTTAGTGTGCAGGGCATGTTAAGCTGAGCAATTACTGAAACCCTCTGCCTCTGCTTTTTCCAATGTCATCTGTTGGTAGGAAATCATCTGCCACTCGCCAGGTTCAGACTATGAGCGAATCCCATACGAACCCATGCCTACTGGGGTGGGCTGTTGTCTAATAACAAGAGAGGGGGGGGAAAGAAACATGGAGCCCATTTGTTCCTTCTTTTTCTTCACAAGCTGCTGCTGGAGACATTTTTCAGAGATTTTGAGAAGGGTTGAAAGAGGGACTGCACAATTATGGTCTTTATATGTATGTATCTAGGTCGAGTAGGAACTAGAGGTTGTTCTAATGTTCTAAAAGCCTGCAAAATCTGAGCAGAGATCAGGGCAGGACAGAATTAATGAGTACACCACCAACTGGGAAGCATTGCTTAAGCCATCTGCCATGTTATGTTATTTTATGTTATTTTATTATTTTACTTTATTTTTAGATATTTTCATTTTATTTTACTTTCCTAAATTAAATTACATTAAATTATTTAAACAATTTATATGGCTACCCATCTCACTAATGTGACCCTGGGCAGCTAACCAAAACTAAAACTGGAAAACAACATTTCCTCGTTTCTCTGTGTCTCACTTTATTACTGTGTCTGGGATAGCCTTTCTCTGACCCCGACCCTGAAAGAATTCGGAGGTTACCTGGAGAAGATGTACAAGAGGATGGTGATCAGACAAGCTGAAGCTGAGACTCCGCAGCCAATATTACTAAGATAGGTTAAAGGGGTCAGTAACTTTTCATCCAGAGGGTCTGAAGAGAGTTGCTGAATAAGGAGAGAAAGAACAAAAGGAGAACCAATTACTATGAGATGCATGTGTATGTCTTGGGTAGGTAATAACTCCTGCCAACTGGATGTCCTCCACTGCAACCCCCATTATCCCAGTCAGCATAGGCCACACTAGCAGAGACTGATGAGAATCACAATCCTACACATCTTCTGGATGGTATCCAGTTGAGGAGCAGGGTCACCAGATTCATCACCTTCAACAACATGTTAATGTAGCAAGTGGCAAGAGACTCATATTGTTGCATAGGGTGGGCAATATGATTCTCAAGAGCACCACTGTGTACCAGATGTTGCTTTTTGGCCTACCAGGCTCTCTGCTCGATTGAATATAAAAAAAAAATCCTTTTAATTTAAAAGTTATTTAGGATGTTGACCTACTACAAACAAAGCAGCAACCTCTAGCATCATACTGAGTTACAGGTATTGGAGTGTCTGAGGTTCCACAAAGATCTCTCTGGGATGGAAGAGAACATCCTGACCATTAGTTCCCCTTCTAGTCAATGGGTGTTTTATGAGTGGCTATGCCATCATATACTTTCCAAATTCTAGAGCTGCTCTACTCCCGAAAGTTGCCTCCTCCTATCTTAGACTGTTACTCTCAAGTAGGCAAATGACACGACTGAACAAACTGCAGACAGAAATAACATCTCAGTTGCCTTTCCTTGGGATTCAGCTTTATGCTAAATAAAACTGGAACTGGGCACACTCTGCCCCAGTATTTTAGGTGAGATTACAAGATAGCTGCCAAGGGACAATATGGAAAAAGACGGAGGTTCTCTGGTCAGGAGAACTTCATTTCCATGGAGGGGCCTTCAACAGAGCAAAAGTTCTACCTGAAGCACTCCAACTTTCCAGAACACCTTCTCAAAAAGGAGGTGATGCAGCAGAGACCTGCAGAGCAACAGCCTTACCAGAAGGACAGCAAAATAGGTGAGATGGCTGCATTTGCAGAGAACAACACCCTCATGGCTGATGCTGGTTTCACAGCCTTCTCGTCTCCATTCCCCCAGGTTGTCCTGTCCTGCAGAACAACAACCACTGTGCTCAGAAAAAGAGCTACAGCTGCCTCTTTAAAAAAAACAGCATGAAGGCTCCATTTGCACAATGCTAGGCTCAGCTAACATGGTGAATTAGGTAACTTGTGGTTCAACACATTGTGAGATCATAGTCTTAGCATATAGTGTATGAATCAAGCCCTCACATCAAGACAGACTTGGGTTTATTTCTTTGGGCATGACATTTTTTATAAGCCCATCCACTGTATTTTCTTAACTCAAGTTTAAGACTAAGCTTGTTGTATCAACCCAGCTTAAGTGTCACACAGGACAGGATGTCATTCACATTTATTTTGCAAAATAGGTAACAGATACAGGAAGCTTGATCCAGGAAGAAAATATGACATGGGGAGGAGGCCTTAGTCTTCACCGACTATCGATAGCCTCAGTTGGGGTCATAGCGGTTGCTCTCTGCTTGGTGCATCTGTGGTTTGAAAGCAGTCTGCAAGTATGGGGGGCCTTACTTCAGGTTGGAAACTGGGGAAGAAATAAGATGCCTTTCTACTAATCACATAGAGGTGTTTTCTTTTAAGTCTTGGAAGTCCCAAGGTCAGCAATCCTGTGAAATACCCCAGATGTTTTGTTATTGGCTCTGCTGGCTATAGCAGCCCTTCTGTGAGGGTGCCCATAATATTCTTGCAAAATGCCAGATGGATCTACTGGTCCAAACACGTCAGGAACCCCTAGTTGATATGCTGGTTTGTTCATTTGCAAGTCACAAGCGGGGGGGGGGCTTTGATTTCATTTTATATAGCAATACACAACAGTTCTCAGGAGTTCAATAAGTTCTTCAATTATTTATCATCATCAGTTATACATAAAATGTGTTTTATATAAAATGTATAGGCATGTGCACGCACACGCACACACAAAGTTATACTGATCACACGTTTTAAACTCCATCTGCAGGTTTACTGTCTAAAACAATGTTTCTCAACCTTGGCAGCTTGAAGATGTGTGGACTTCAGCTCCCAGAATTCCCCA